TTTGAATGCTGCTCCATGATCTTGTACTTGCCAAGCTCCTCGTTTTGTTTCTTTCGCAGAGCTTTGATGTTGTCAATGGCCTTGGTGTACTTCATAGCCTCGAATATCTCGTCAAAGCGCTTTTTCAGCACTGAAGGTTCACTCATTGGCCATAAACTTTCATCTTGGTGGCAGAAAATGACTGAATCTAGCACAGCCTTCGACACACCCAGATACTGTGGCATAATTTGGTCGAGTTCAGCTACCCGTGATGAGATAGCGGTACGCTCGCCATTTTTCACCATGAGCAACTGCCCTTCCAGCGTCTTCTGCTGCCGGGTTGTCTTCTTAACGGTAAGCTGCAGACTGCGCGTGGCAACCATTTTTGCTCCGGAGGTGCCTTTGAAGGACAGCTTCACTTGGGCCAGGACCTCTTTCTCTCCACATAGCTTCGGGTCGTGGATAAAAGCACCGCCTTTGCTGTTTGGGGGGAGGTCGCCTGTCGTGGCATATTTGAGACACTCAATGATGGTCTATATCTCCGTTAGTGCTCCGTTGTCCATTCCAAGCTGGTTGTTTATAGCTTCCAGTCGGCGCCTTCGTGAACTCGTACCGTCTTTCCTGAACCATTGTATCCGACAATCAGCGTGAGGGGGGTATGGAATTGAATTGTCTCGCTGCGGGTGTTATCGAAGGAGCGAACACTAGTAAATGGCTCTTTGGATTAGCATTGTAATGATCATCCCGGAAGTTGCGTGCGGATCATAAGCGTTTGAGACGCACCCCAAGATAGACAGCTTATCGATCTTTGCTGCGACATGTTAGAGGAAGGTTGGGACTTTTGTTCGCGCCGAGATAGAAAGTTGTTGCACTTACACCTAAAAACGAGTTAGCATCGCGAAACGGGCTCGGGGAATGATCCGTACATTTTGAGTGGAGAGCTGTGGTAGGTGCGGTGACGCCCATTAACTCAGTCCCAAGACGGAAGTTAACATCCACAGAAAAGTGGGAGAACTGTAGAATGGAAGTGCTCGGATCGCCTCGTCAGTTGTGACGAGTCACATAGTCCCGCGTTGAGGCAACACGAAGTCACGTGTTTAGTACGAATGGAGAGTCCCACTAGGATCGGAGGCCAGTTTCCTGACTTTTGTCCTTTTGTCCTTTGACCTTTTGAACAGGATCCAGGCCTACAGACGATGGATGTGTGTGCGTTGATACTTAGTACCCCCCTGACCCCTTGAACCCCAGTTTATATTGGATCATGATCATTCCCTCCCTTCACCGGCCGCTCTGTAACCTCTAGTGGAAACCTCCCTTACGGAATGCAACTCATTTTTCTCTATGATTGTCACTAAATACGAATATCACGAAGTACGACCAACAACGTTTTATTTGCCCCGTTTATGCTCCTTGTACCACTGTCGATATGGCTCTAAGTCGCCCGCAAGCATATGAGAGCAGGCCTGCTTCTGCACAGGTCTACTCCGACCCCAGCGAGGGAGCCCCGGTTTACGCCATGGATCAGCAGCATATTCCCGGCCCCTATAGTGGACAATATGGAGTGCAAGGTGTCCAGTATGGAGGCAATCAAGCACGAGATGAACCGGGTTGGACAGAGCGAGTCCTCGACGAAATGAGGGATATGCTTCTTCTCCTTGACCCACAGGGTCGAGTCTCCTATGCCAGTCCGTCCTGCAAGAGCATCACCGGTCGTGCCTTGACACAACTTGAGGGAAACCCACTGACACAGTTCATCCACGAGGACGACCAGGCAATCTTCCAGAAAGACATGGATGATGCCGTCGCTACGAACCAGTCATTCCGCACCCATTTACGATTCCAAAAGACCAACAACACATACTGTCTCATGGAAGCATGTGGCCACCCGCACATTGCGAAACAGAATGAGCGTCAGAGCGGAAGAATATCACCCACTACGGAGCGCTGCACCGGCTTTTTCTTAATGTGCCGACCCTATCCCAACAAAGTCTCCCAGCTCCTCGACTCATTCCTGGAGCACAAGATCGAGAACGCGCGTCTGCTTCAACAGATTGCCCAATTGAAGAAAGAAGAAGACGATGATGCGAGCTTGACTCGAGCCTCCCAACCAAAGCTCGGTCTAGCCCCGATATTTGAATCCCACAGTCAAATAGCGGCACCTGAAGGCGGATCCAGCGACCAAGAATCCACAGACACTGTCGCACAGACATCAGACGACTCCGACGCAAACCCATCAGTCGATTACTACGGAAACCGTAAAAGCGAGGGATACTCGCACATCGACGGCATCGAAGTAATGACGGGTCTTTACTACGGCGAAGGCGAGAGATCCCAGGGTCTGAGTACAGGAGCCAGTCGTGGCCGTCTGGTCCACTGCGATATCGACATCACCACTGCAGCGGACCAGGAACGCAACGCGCAGGAAGGCGACCGCCGCAAGCGACTCAAAAGCCAGCATGTCTGTGGTGACTGTGGAACGGCAGACTCGCCAGAATGGAGGAAAGGGCCGAATGGGCCTAAGACCTTATGCAATGCCTGTGGCTGTAAGTTCCACCGCTTGTTGACTCGCTTTACCTATACACTCTTGGCACACGAGCTAATCTTGTCATCTTTTAGTGCGTTGGTCTAAGAAGGAAAAGAAACGTCAGGAGTCGACTTGATTCTTATGCTCCGTATTATTTACTAGCACTCGGATTTGGGGTTTGGGGTTTCCAGCTTGTGGTTTTTGAGGTTCAAGCCCCATGAATAGTGCATGAGTGATGATGTTATGTCCTATGATTCTGACCTGTCTTTGGTTCAATGTCTTTGGTTCAATGTATATAGTTGGTCAGTTTTTTGGGCTGAGGTCTACTGGCAGACACCGTTTTCATTGTCAGTCTACATGAACACGCGAAAGTATTTCTCTCTTTGATAACTGAAACGACTTGATTTATGGGAATATGGGAAATTAAATGGTTCTCGACAGTGCATATGGTCGGAATGAGTGAAATGTCCAACGCCGAAGATGAGGGTAGTATGTACTTCGTACTTCATACTGTACTTGCAGGGGGATTTTGTTAATAACAAGCGTATCGGCCCAAATCCATAAAATATTGAAATGGGCCCATCAAAAAAAGGATGGAAAGGAATACCAAATCCATTTGAACACCATTCTGCCCCAAACATAATGAACGTGATATATGAGCAGCGAAAATGTGGTATCAAAAAACGAACAACAATTAAACCCGCACGCCAATCAAGTCTTAGCAGCCTTCTTTGGCGGAGGTGGGAAATACATTGGCGAACCCGTCTGACTCTCCGGGCTCACTGCCTGCGACTGCGGCTGCGACGGGTATTGGCCGTGTGAATGGGAGTTATTCCGTAGAGGGAGGTCTGAGGAAGTGCTGCCATTATCAAGGCGGTTGAAAGCCAAATGGCGCGGAGCAAATGGTGAGATACTTCCGCCGACGGCCATTGGCGGGACGCCAGGGGTGCGAGGGACCATGCCTGGGCCTCGGGGCATCGAGCCCGGTGTCATGGGGATCATACTTGGGGACTTCATGATCTCCTCTTCGAACTCCTTCTCGATCCGGCGCTCTTCCCTGCGTTCCATGATCTCCTCGCGTTCTTCGGGGGTGATGAAGCAAGAGTGGATGTTGAAGCCGAGGATCACGCAATAGTAGACACTGTGGGTGTGTTAGCTGGCTATGTCTTATGGAAGATAAAAAGCGGAAAAGGAGGATCGACGAACATGATGATGACCGTAACAGCAAACAGCGCTTTGGCTTGCATGCAGTATGGGATATTGGATTTACGAGCGGCGACACTGCAACTCTTCGCAATGTACCACGGTGCTCCTGGTTGGGGATGACTTGGATCCGACATGTCAGAGCCTCCTTGGTACCGGGCTGATACGATATAGAGAACGATCAGGGATGTATGGATCCCAGCCGCGACAGGAGGGTAGAGTAGATTCATCCAGTGAACAGGCACTTTAGTGATCAGGAAGAATGTGCTCAGCACCCCGAGAACAAGGTTGTAGTTGGTGATGCTGCTTTCTGTTAGCTAGCTTTTGGATAAGAGTATGATGAATAACGTACAATCCAGACCAGACCATTGGGGCCTTATACGGCCTATAGTTTGATGCTGCGTAGAGCGCCTCGTTTGGAGCGCTGTTGAACCCATTGTCTGCACCGTCTTGCCATAATAATGTCCGGTATAGATTGTGTGAAGCAATACCGGTCAATGTCAGCATGACGATAATGATCGGGAACTCGGCCAGCATCAAGTAAAGAGTGATCTTATGGTGTTTGTGCTTTTTGGGGAAGAAGAACTGCATGGTGGCGGTGGATGCGGTGCGCTGATGAAGCTGACACTGACAATCGTTCAGCTGAAGCGCCAGGGGGTTAAAGAAGTCTACAATGCAACTCTACCAGACCGGCTGGCATAGGCGCAAGAGAGCAGATGCTTGAACTTGGGAGTTTCAAAAAGTCAGAAAAGCACAAGCCTGGGCAATCCGGACGACGAGCGTTAGATATGAGCTCGAGGCCGAGTGGCAGGCTCCATGACAATGCAGAGAGGGGCACGAATCAGCATGGGACATGTAGAGCAGCTAACGTGTGTTTGAGAGTTGCATCTGGCCAATGCTTGACGGCGGCAAAGCGCCGCAGGTCGTAACCCAGGGCCATCACACCAATGAAATGGCGGGGATCGAGGGTTGGCTGCCGGTCACACACTAGGTGTGATGGGATGGCAGATCTGCACCATAGCCATCACAGAACTCGCTCTCTCGCCTTGTTCTTGGCGCTTCGGCTGGGAACTTGCAGCTTTTAGCGCCTGGCGAAACGCTGCGGTGATGGACGCTGTGACTTGGTTTGCAGTGTACATATACTCTCTATCTGGGGCCTCTGGGGCCATGAAATGCTGACTAAGTATTTTGGTAAGCTCTGGAGACCTCGGTACAGCCCGCCCCCACAGCCTCATTTCTTCGATCAGGGTCAACTCCTAACCTCGCGCCCAAAGAAGCGTTTGTAACTGCGCCAATGGCGGACCTCAACGCCCTCGGGAACCCCCCGATTCATTATCGATCTCTTGCATTGTTTTTTGGCTACCTCTCAATCGCAACCGGTCTTATCCTCAGCATAATCCGCGTTATCAGTGTCCGATATCATGCCCGCCAGAAGCAAAATGACTGGAATGGACCCCAGCGGCGCAAGCAATTTTATCTCTTTGCCATTTTGGCAGCTCTGAGCCTCGGCTTTACGTGGTTCTACATGATCAGTCTGTTTGTCTGGTCATACAAAAATTGGGCATCTAGTCCTGATGGACTATTGTATTCGAGCATAGATATGCATACTGTCACCCGGATGGGCCTTTGGCTTAAAAAGACCTATGTTTTCCAGCAAGCATGGGAGACAGTTTCTGAGAATCCGATGCGGTTTTGGTGGAGTGGACAGATCTTTGGATGGACGATTGGGTGGAGTATTTTCCTTGGCATCACCGGTAGGTTTGGTCTCGTTAGCATCCCTCTAACAGCATTACTAACTCTTGCTCACAGGTCGGAGATATCGCATTCCCCATGTTTGGGTGTACATGCTCGTTGCCCAAGCTGTCGGTGTATCTGTCGCCGCGAATCTTTTCTTTGCCGCTATCACTGTCTCGCAACGACCCAACGAGAAACATGATATCTTCGCATGGTCTCCACCGCTAGTATACGAGCTCGTCCCAGTCGTACTCTCACTTCTCGACACGGTAGCTGTGCCGATCTTCGCGTACGAGAAGAAATTCATGATCGTTCTACTCGCGCCCCATGCTCTAGTTTTTATTCCTTGCGTGCTGCGCCCGAGAAGTTCCGCCTCGAAGGGCGCTGCCACCAAGGCACAGGGAGAACAAACGACCAAGCGATATACTTTATTCATCTATTGGATTGCGGCGGCTTCCGTTGTTCTGCAGGCCTATATCACTGTTTTGATGTTGCTAGATATAGGTCCAGATGTATCGTACGGCGAGGTGGCTCAGCGGCTACTGGATACGGTATATGTTCATCCTGCTTGCAGTAGCGTGAGTTGGGACGTCATTTGGTGCACCGTGAGTGGTTTTGCTTGGGCTGCTGTGCATGGTTTTGAGGCAAAAGCAATGCTTGGTGGAAGGTGAAATGAATGGACAGGAGGCTTGCGGGATATTCCCGGACCTAGAGATATTGCTGTCAAAGGATAAACTCGCTCTTGCAGATAATCTGGTAAAGCAGACTAAAGGATTGTATCACGCAACACTCAAGACAAGGCATGTCATCAGCAGCTTCTACTTTATAGAGGAATTTTACGCACAGAGACAGTAGGTCGATATCCAAATTTTGTGTAAAAACGTTATGCAGTATCGAGTCCCATCCAAACATCCTGCGCTCGCTCGATTTGATCCAGGAGTGCCTGGACACCAAGCTTAAGGAGTACGAGAATGGGCCCCGCTATCTCGCAACCGATTTTGTGACGACCGAAGAGGCGCGCTTGAAGATCTACATGCGACATCCAGCGGAGTCCTTTGACGATATCTGGGACTACTACACCCTGGGTGGTAGGATTCCAGGCCTGGATGAAGACAAGGGCCGCTTTCGCGAGCTCATGGCGTTCACTTCTACAAGCCTGATATTAACAAAGTACAAAATGACCAGACTCATTACACCGCGGTGCAGAGGAAGATGACAGCCATTTATTTCTCGCTTTCCACGGATAATCCCATGCCTGCACCGAAGATCTGCTTCTATCCCGCCAATTTTGCGGCCAACGATGAGGTTATTGGACAGGGTGTAGATGAATGGCTGCAGAAATACGCATGGAACCAAAGGGGGAAGTCGATGACAGATAGAGTGCAGGATGTTTTTACGCACCAGGGCCTGCACGAGAAGAAAGGCAGCTTCACCTTCTTAGGGCTTGGGCGCAAAGAGGACCCGACAAAGGAGTTGAGCATGCAGATATATGTAACAGGGGAGTTGTATAGCACGCCACGTCCGGGACCCAAGTACGACACCCAGTGTAGTATTGGCTATATACATATCAAGTTAGTCCATCGCACGAAGAAGAGGACATTCACAACTATTTCGTAAGGACATAGCAATATGCCATATTCACCTGCACTGGAGATCCCTCCCTCAACCCACCGTTGACGTGCGAGTCATAGACACATAGGTTTTTATAAAGTCTACCTAGGCTATAGCTAACATCAAAAAGCCACACCGAGCTCTCCTCAACTCCAGTCTATTCTGGCAGCCTCCGCTAGAAGGATTTGCCGCCCTTGACGCACCTGTGTATTGCTTCCTAATTACTTCACGGCGATACACAGGTCGAATACGACCTGTGTGCTCAAAGTCCTGCTGTGTAGTTGTTGCCGCAACTGCGACGGACAGAAACCCAACGCAGAAGCCCTGGGCTACTATGACCGAAGTTGTGATAGACAGCAATTCTACCATGTGTGATACCACCGTCAGTGGCGCTAACCACTGCCAGCTAACCCGGCTATGGTTTCCAGCCGTGATAAGACGTCATTCTGGGACAAAGGGAGACTGGCGATAAACGCTGGCAACTGGGCCAGGCAACGCCGCAAGAATGCCAATCGGGGAATATTCTGGAGATCCGGCTGTAGCCGGCACAGACGCTCGGTGGTCCATTGCAATTGGGTCAGTTGGGGTCTAAAAAGAACGATGCGAGTGTTAGGAGGCATGGTGGAGGCAATCATCACACTGATAGCCAACACTAGCCAGTCGCATTTGTTTTCAACCAATGCCTGTAGCAGGCCAGAGTAAATGTACAAACCCCGAGTAGAACAAAAAGACCGCCCGGGGTTACCAAAAGTCATCGGCGTTAGGGCAACTTAATTCCGGCGCGTGATGCTTAAAGCTTACTTGTTGATGCTCCCTCTCTTTCTACTTACCGTCAACTTCATCATGGCCACTACCAAGCTCACCTGGCTCATTACGGGCTGCTCTTCTGGCTTCGGCCTTTCCTTGACCCGCGCCGCCCAGGCTGGCGGACACAAGGTCATTGCGACCTCGCGCAACCCATCGCGCACTCCCGACCTCGTCGCTGAGATCGAATCCAAGGGAGGCAAATGGGTCCAACTAGATGTGAACAGTCGTGACTGCGGCAGCGTGATCACTGAGCTCGAAGGCAGTGGCGACCACATTGACGTCCTGGTCAACAACGCCGGGTATTCTATCTACGCTCCCATTGAGACCTTCGAAGAGGAGGAGGTGCGAGCTCAGATGGAGACTATGTACTTTGGTCCCCTGCGCCTCATCCGGACCGTTCTTCCTCACATGCGCAAGCGGAAGTCCGGCGTGATCGTCAACATGAGCAGCGGTGCTTCGCTTGACGGCATTCCCAACATGGGTGTTTACGCAGGCGCAAAGGCTGGAATGGATGGTATGTATCAGAATTCACGAGCTTCAAGCCAATGGAAATAGCTAACTGTGAATCCGATAGCCCTTACCAAGATCCTCGCTAAGGAAGTTGCCCCATTTAACATCCGCACCCTGACTGTTATTCTCGGAACCTTCAACACCAACATGCCCAACTCGGTGGTTCTGGGTAAGTCTCCCCTACCCGAGGATTACAAGGGAACCTTCACGGAGCAGGTCCAGGGTCTTCTGGTCAGCGGAAAGATCAAGCCCAACGGCGACAAGGACAAAGCGATGCAGGCTGTGTATCAGGTTGTTGCTGGCGAGGGAGTTGGCGAAGGCCATCAAACCGAGAAGCTTCTCCCTCTGGGGAGTGACATGACCCCTCGTCTCAAAGGAGTCCAGGACTATCTCGGCAATGCTTTGGAAGTGTTCGGCTCTGTGACCAACAACGTGGATGTGGACAAATGAAGCAGATCCTTCCAGTCTTACAAAGGTCGTTTAAAGACAGTTTTCAATGCGGGGTAAATACCTAGGTAGTGACAGGCGTTACAATGGCCAGAGGGTAAAGTTTACCGAGTGTCAACTGACCAACCGGGGAATTCCTCCCTCACGCAAGTGCTCTTAATTTTCCTTCCCCTCCGTGCCTTCCGAGGCCCAGGGAGAATAATTTCATCAGCCATTGCTCTTACATCATTTCCATCTCAGTAGATGCCTCTCAGTGCTAGAAAATTACCTCGAGAGCTCAGACGTCAAGGAACCGATTAAAGGTCGTCGTAGTGGAAAAGATCCACCGAGTCTTCCGTCCGGGAGCGGGCCGGCGGCTTACTCCACATGCCCAAACACCTAGAGATAGCCTCGACCAGTTTCGCCCAAATAACAATAATTTCTACCTACATCACACTAACTCTGCCTCGATAATGCCCTGCACTGCCAGCGGAGGCCTCCAGATCTTGACCACTTTGAACCCCTCCAGAGCAATTCCTCCCACTGCATCTCAGTCCGCTCCGCGCCAGCCACCATAAGCATCATGGTCAGATCGTACGCAGTGGTATGAGGGTGCGCGAACGCCCGGGGTGCAATATAATCGTGGGTTAACAGCGTACCATATCCCGGTGTCATGGCATCTCTCTGCATAGCGAGGATCTTGCGAGCCGGTTCGTCAGACCAGTCATGGAGCACACCGTGCATGTAGTAAACCCGAGATCCCTTGATCGGCTGCGGAGTGAAGAAGTCGTAGTCCATCTTGTTCACAGGATCCGGACATTTGGACAGCTTGACGACCTCGGGTCGGTCCTGCAGGTAGAGTCGGCTGGCGGTTTCACTGTGCGCCTGACGGAAGCGTTCCATGTCATGTCCAATGTTGCCGCCGACATCGACGACAAGAGGCGTATCCTCGTGCGATGTCTCCAAAATCCGCTCGTGCGGGAAGGTATCCAGCCAGCCGGCCTGGTTGGCCATGACACCCCCCATAACGAAGCTCAGCGCCAACCCGTTCATCTTTGCCATTGTCGCTTTCTCGCGCTTCTACCGAATTTTCTCTTCAAGCAGGTCTACAGGCTCGCCATTCGTCTGGCCTCGACCGACGAATCGATTGCGTCGTTTCACAAACTAGACCAATTCGCTGTAGGCGTCACTTACCGTGCTGATATTTATTCCGCACAAATGTCGACATATCAGTCTCGTCTTCTAGAGGCGGGGGCTTCTCCAGAGGAAACTGCTGCCCAGTGTAAGGCCGTGATCTTTGCGGGTGTCGACTCCACCGCCATCATGCTGGCAACCATCCTCGTCCACCTCATCCACAACAGGAAGGCAAGGTATACACTTTCAGCAGAAATTACACAATATCGACAGGAAAGCCCATCAATAGATTCAGAGTCCATCCCTTATCTGCGCGCTGTCGTTAAAGAGGGGCTTCGACTGGGCATGGCAAACCCAACCCGATTTACCCGGGTCAGTCCTTCCTCCTCCATCCTCCGTGTTGGCGAGCACACCTTGCCTGCCGGCACCGTCGTAGGCTGTGCTGCGTATAATCTACATTATGACGAGGATGTATTTCCGCGGCCCTTTGACTACCGGCCAGACCGGTGGTTGGAGGCCAGACAGGACGGAGGGCTTATGGAGAGGAACATGATGCCGTTTGGGTTGGGATCTAGGGCCTGCATTGGGAAGAATCTAGCAATGAGACAGGTGTATGAGACCGTTCTAGCGATGGTTAGTCCTGTAGAAGGTGGATGTTTGTTAGACGGGGCTAGGATGAGACACAGCAAGATTGATATGATTGAGTGGTTTAATGGGGAGATTCGGGGGCATTGTTTGGATGTGGATTGGGATTGATTGCAGATATAACTATACTTAATCTATCATCATATTCCTTTGTTCCAATCTGTAGTTCGATGATATACAACAGGGGCCATAAGTCTTTTCATATCCCCAACTCTATACGATCTATTATCAATCTGAGGATCTCGTAACGGCCAAGAAAGATAGGCTTATTCATAGCACATGACAACATCATTCGCAGGTGTCCTGCGCGCGCCTCGTTTTCCCGGTCCTTATAATGCATAAATGTGCTTTACCAGGCAAACTTAGCTATGTCTAGACAAAAAGTTTTCATAGATACGCCATAGCGTAGTAGTGCAAGTATGCATGGATTTTACTTTGGCCCTGACTTGAATACTTTCCACGAGCGGGGGTTATTCTTCAGCAATGCTTAATGGACGGCCTGATAGCGCTTACTCTGCAAGGTAAATATGATCAGATTATAGAGGATCATCGAGGTAGTAGGTGTTACGAACATACAAACACCAATCAGTTGTGGGGCCGCATCATACACGTGACTGGATTGAGCGTGACCACTCGAGTCTAAGCCGTGCTGACATCTACTCACAGATCCTAAGCCTGAGCGCCCTCATAAAGCGGCGTCAGCCCAGATAGGAAAAGCCCCTCCTGTCTATATAGGAGCATATTCCCGTGTTGATTCCCATGTTGGATCCCATCACAAAGAGGAGAGATCTCGAACTACTGTACAGTACTAAACCGTACAGAGTGTCGACTTATCGGGGTGTGCGATAATATCGTAACTTGATGTAAAGAGGAAGTTGTAGAGAAGAAGTCATGTGGTCGGAAAGGAGTAATGCATCACTACTTCAAATGATCCATACTGTCTTCCTTCAACTTGAATTAACCCACAACTCACTCAAACCCAACCTTGTAGCGTCTTATCTGATGAAATCCTTCCGCCCCTGTTCGATTATCCCCCGGCTACGCATCACATCCCCGCTCGTCTCTGGGACTAACCAACTACGGTCGATAGCAAGCACCAGCAGCCAAATGAGTTCTCAAAAAGAGGATTCAATACCCCACGAGCTCCGCACAGCTGCAGAGCCCCGGCAGAATAGACTCCATTCTGTGCGGCTATCGCATGTCGAGCAGGTCAACCCCTCCGTGCGCCTACTGCAGTTGGCTCTGCCTACCCAGGAGAATAATAATAATGTATGATACTTTTTCGTTTATTCTTGGTTGTTTAGAGTACTCTATGGATCTATCAACCGCAACATCACTAACCATACACCGACCCCGGCGGCAATCCGGTTGGATGTCCCCCACGCCGTTAGAGCATATGCTCCACGGCAACCAATCCCGGTCCCCGTCAACCTCCAAATACCTATAGTACGCACTTTCTTTCAAAGGCATATTACTAACAAGAATATAGAATAACACCCAACAATCATTCAGCTTCCTCCCAGGCCAATGGCTAGATGTTCACATCCCATCCATCGCCCAAGCGGGTGGATTCACTATCACTTCCACCCCAGCAGATGCACAAGTACTGCCACCACCCGAGGCATCCACAACCTCGCCAACGGAGGAACCCCTGGCCTCATCTATCGACCTCCAAGGCAGACCCCCCTATGTGGAATTAGCCGTGCAAGAGTCGCCGGGGAACCCGGCCGCTGCATGGCTATGGAGACCAAAAGAAGATATCCTAGGCAAAGAGTTGAGCATCCGAGTAGGCGGGAGCTTTACCTGGCCACCTACTGGGGTGGACAGTAAAGACGTGAAGAATGCGATCTTTATTGCTGGTGGTGTTGGTATCAAGTAAGTGACTGTCTTTCTTACAATCTACCAAATCTATATCCCATTCCATTCCAATGAAAAACTAACAAACCCCAGTCCGCTAATCTCAATCATCTCCCACTTGAACAATAACGACCCAAACACAACCTGTCCCCCAAAAATCCACATCCTGTACTCAACACGGCTACCAGGAGGCCACGAAAATCTCTCGCTGGAAGAAAAGCTCGAGCAGATTCTCTTCCTACCTCGTTTACGCCAGATCATGCAGTCCCAGAAACAGTCCCGGCGAACCGAAATATTCTTAGACCTCTTCCTCACTGATCTACCTGCAGGTTCGAACAAGTTAGGCATTGATAGGGCTGGTCTTTCAACGATTCATGCGGGGCGGATCAGTGAGTCTTATTTGCATGATGTGGTTGTGAATGCGAGTGAGAGGATGGATTTGAAGGATACAGTCTGCTATGTCTGTGGGCCGCCTGGTATGACTGATTCAGTGGTTGAGGTATTGGGCAGGATTCTTGGGGAAGGTGGGAAGCAGAGGATTTTCTTTGAGAAGTGGTGGTAAGACTCTGGTTAAGATAAAATAAATCGTTGGCTGAAGACATTTGGACCACCTCATATGCAAAAGCTAATCTACGAGAATCGAATCAAGATATGATGAGAGTAGGAGAAATGCTTGAATATTCAGTAAAGGAAGACACCCCCAAGACGCCGACCTGTTGCAGGCAAGGCGCAGAAAGATATATATACAGTGAGATAAAGAAAAGCCGCTGCAACCGACGGAAACGACAGTATGTGAGAGCAGCAAAGTACAGTGACACTTGCATCTCAGTGGAGTATGGAGAAAGGGAAAAAAAGGGCGAGTAGAAGCTAGACTTCGTTAGGATGCTTCATTGGGGCCGTTGACGGTGCCGCCATCCACGATCATCATCTCGTCGATCTTGGCTTCGGTCTGGCCCCATTCAAGACGCTTGTATGTGGAGACTCGGCCTGGGCCCATGTCGAAGTCGAAGAATCTTACTCGGCGGACGAAGTTATCGTAGCCTCCGTAGCCGCCCATACCGACGCCGCCGCCGTAGCACATCCAAAGGGAGGGCTTTTCGTTGGCATCTTGCTCGAGCATGCAATAGTCGTTGACGTGGTCACTAGAGGTAGGTTAGCTTTGTGTGGAATGGAGGATGGGAAAGGTAATCTTACTGTCCACAACTGACAAACAAGACGCCCTCTTCTTCGAGAGCATCCTTGAAGCCAGAGTTGAACCCTGGTGCGGTAGGGGCTTCCATCCAGGCGCCCTTGAAGTATTTTCCTGAAGTGCGATACTCAGGAAGCGGGATGTGAATAAATGCCACGTTCATGTGGATATGCGAGTATTCGAGATGTTTTCTTCTGAGGCTCTGTGCAGTGTTTTTAAACCACCGCGTTTGACTTGGCTTGATCCAGTCATAGCCACGGAATTGACGTTCATCGGGGGAGTAGGAATGTGTGTCGAGGAAATAGAAGGTCAGGGCAGAATGGGTGCTCTTGCCTCGGTCGAGGATTTCGACGATGTAATTTCCGACCCCGTCAATGTCTTCGGGGCCAGCGGCTGAAAGGGAATAGGGAAGGTCTTCATATATGGTCATGAGTTGTGCCCGGTTCAGGTCACCCTCGTCGTCATGGTTTCCAAAGATGGCTGCGTAGGGGATTTTGCGGTCGACCAAAAGCTTCACGGATTTAAAAAGGGCGCTTTGTGCATCGGGGGCGGTCTCGCCGTTAACCTGGTCACCGGAGAAGACGACCATGTCAGGCTTCTCTTCATCGAGAAGTCGTTCGACAAATTCCAAGGTTCGAGGATCGGCTTCGCACTTCTGGCCAGGCACCAGTTCCGCTGGAACAGGGTCGCGGCATAGCCCAAGACCCGTGCTCATATGGAGATCTGCCAGCTGCATCACCTTAAACTTCCCATTCTCATTGATTCTGGGAGTAGGTTTCTTGGGTTTAGTCGGGTGGCCTCTCCGAATGCTAAGGCGAGTCTCCAGTTGCTCCGTCCGACTATCCAGAAGAATGGGAGTATCTTTGACTTCCCAGTTTGGTCGAGGGTCGACAGCATCCGCACCGTAGAGAACATCGACATATGTCACAGCACTTTCAGAGTCACTGGCATGACGGGAGGACGAACGCCTAAGCCAGAGGCCGCCCGGTCGGGGCTCCCAAGCCCCGATCTCTGTTTGTTTCGCAACAGATTCGGACGGCGGCGTAAGACGACTGATCTTCAAGTCGACGACCACCTTGTCATCAGGTCCCAGTTCCTCCTCCTTCTTCCGCTTGAATTGGATGTAGGCGCTCGAGGTCCAGCCCGTGCGCAGGTAGAGGTCCTTGTCGACGCGGTACCAATGATCTGGATCCAGTTTGCAACTAGAGAAAGGATTGATAGAGGAACATGTGGTGACAGTAACATCGGTGATCACGTAGCCGGAGTAATGCGATGGGAGATGGCCGTGAATAGAGGAAGGAAGGACACGAAATCGATTATCGAGAACGACTATCACGAGTAGTATGAATGTGGCGACTAGACCGAGCTGTACGCTCGCTCGGACCTGTCAAGATGTCAGCCAAATGTTTCACACAAGTCAATGTGTCGTGTCATACTAGTCGGCGAGCCATGATGAAATGATGATCACCCTGGCAAGGACTTGGACAAGGGCGTGGCGCAGTGTCGCATGATGCCCATGGACCGAAAGAGGGAGTATGCAGAGAAGAACCGAGTCAACTCTAGAGAAAAATATATAGGGAGGGAATGTTTGAAAGACGAAGGTGGCCACGCTTGGACCCTGGAAGGCGGTCACTGGCTTTTCGACTCCTTGTCAGGGTCCAGCCACTCCAAGGCTCTTAGTTTGCTTACTTAGGTAACTTTACTATGTAGTCTACCTGGGTAGTTATGCTTATTTCTCATAATTTTCAAGTTTATTTTCATTACTATCTAATATACCAGAAATATCATCATTCATATCCCTCTATCCTCTATATCCTCTATATCTATTTGGAGTCGGTAGGCTGGTAACGGCCCTCGGCAACATCGCGCGCCGTCACCTCGCCACTCAAAATGGCTTGAGTAGTCTTGAGAATAGTGGACCAATCCTCAAAGGTTGTGTACTTCATGTTTCTGCGCTGGCAGTAGGTGACCAAATCTGCAAGAACGTTCCAAGGTTAGCACTGGGGCGTCAATGAAGGCGGAGCAAATGAATACCTTTGCCCTGTTTGGCGAAGAGAAGATCAGTCTCCGCGGCAGCAGACAGATCTGAGACACCGTCTCCAGCATAGAGGAGGACAGGGCGCTCGCCATCAGGCAATGCGGCGTAAGGCCTGATCTCCAGAGACTTGTCATGGCCAAAGTGGCTGGGAAAGGGTTGTTAGCAAGACTGGATCGATGCAAGTTCTTCGGTAGCAGTTTACCTGTCATCGTGGTACTCGATACCCCAGCCACCCTCGCTGTTGATGTCCTTGCCGTCGCGGCTCACGGGCTCGTTGGAGATAATGGTCAGGTGCTTCGCCGGCTTGTGGCCGAGGAACTTCTCCAGCAGGGCACTGATAATGGGGCGCATTCCAGAGGACAGAATTACAATGGGGACATTGTTTTCCTGGGCCCATTCGTAGAATGCCTTGAAGCCAGGGTCCAGCTTCATGTTCTTGAGCAGGATCTGGATACACTGGTCGTAGGGGGTCTTGATAGATCCCAGCATTTCGCGGAAGGCATCACTGCAAGTATAGAAGACTGATTAGATTGTGATATTGGTCAAAATGGTCGAGTATATGCCCACCGGAAGCTCAGGGTCTCGTTCAGAACCTGTTCGTTCAAGACAAGGCGCTGTTCCCGGCCGAAGCCAAGGTTGTCGATCTGGATGGTGTCAGTGACGAGCTAGATGATGACGGCACATGCGATATACCATGAAGTCATTGCCTGTTCTGGTCAGCCTTGAAGTAGCGCTTTGCGGGGAAGCACCTACTGTCGTCGACGGTAATTGTGCCATCAAAGTCGGTGAAGAATATGAGTTTGGGGTTAGTCTCCATGTAAGGGAGCGAGTGGGACCCCATTGTGACGGCAATGAATATAGAATATAAGGGAAGAATGAAGGTACAAAGAGAGAGAGAGAGAGAAAAGAAAGAATTGACCCCTCGATGCCTCAGAACTGGGGGTGGGTCGGTGAGTGGGTTAGTCTCGATGGAGCAAGATTTTCCTCTTCTGGTGATTTTTAGCTCCCGACTGCATTTTGTTGTTTTGTCGCATCATGTTTCGGCTGCGCAAGGCTCTACAGAGAGTCCTAGGGGTAACCCCGTCACCGGGTGCTCTACGATCTCGGGCCATTGACACCGATTTCTCCGTCTTCAGAGGTAATTGCGTCCCTCTCGTGCCCCGTCATCAGACTAACAATGCGCGCAGAGGGAGACCGAGTTGTGCTACACGGCAAGCAGCCCTCATTGTCAAAGCCATTGAAGAAGGGCGACAAGCTACAGAGTCATCGGGGATCTGTGGACCATAACAGCATCCTCAACAAACGCGTATGGGATACAGTACAGTCCAGCAAAGGTCAGTAACTCGCATGTTCTCTGCTGCAGGCCACCACTGACTTGGAATGATATACACAGGTGCACCAATTCGAGTCAGCCTCCCCACACTGGAAGAATACGTCACCCTGACTCCTCGCCTGGTCACGCCGGTATGCGCATCACTCTCACAGCAACGCACGGAAAGATACCTTGGACTCACGCTATCCCAGTAGATCTACCCCCAAGATGCCAATTTGATTACTTCACTTCTCGACATCCACCCCAATACCCCTGTCGCGCGTGAGGATCAACCTCCCTTGGAAATTCTCGAGTCCGGAACAGGCCATGGGTCTTTGACATTGCACCTGGCGCGTGCCATTCATGCAGCCAACAGCACATCGCCGCCTCACCCATCCCGATCGCAGATCAATTACCTAGAAGGTCGAATCAACAGGCCAGGAGAAACGGAAGCGGAACAAATCAAAGATAAAGTAGCCGAGACAGCCGCGGATCCAGTGCAGGAAGAATGGGATGCGTGGCGGGCACAGCGCAATGCTGTGATTCACACGGTGGACGTCTCGCCTAAATTCTCTGCGTTGGCTGAGAAGAATGTGCGAGGCTTCCGCCGTGGAATTTACGCAGGAAATACCGATTTCTACGTGGGTCCTGTCGAGAAGTGGATTGCTCAACAGATGCAGCAGCGGAAGAAGACCGGCCTGGCTGCATTGGCTGGGAGAAACACTGTTGAGCCCTTCTTGTCCCACGTTATTTTGGACATGCCTTCTTCGAACCTCAGGATCCCTCATGTTACACCGGCCTTGAAACGCAATGGTTACCTGGTGGTCTTCATGCCCAGCATCACGCAGATCGGCGAGTGTTTGCAACTGATCAAGGATCAGCGATTGCCTCTCGTCCAAGAGCGGGTAATTGAGCTTGGTAATGGAATCAGCGGTGGTCGCCTATGGGATGTGCGCTTCGCGACTAAGAAGTCCGGCGCCGACCCATCGTCTTGGGCTGCTTCTTCGGATGCGGAGGATACTGCCGCAGCTGCAGAGACTGAAGAAGCCAGTGTCAGTGACGCTGCTTCTGAGGTAACTACAGAAGAATCTCCGAAAGGAGGAGAATCTGTTCTGGTTTGCCGGCCCAAGGTCGGTGTTCGCATCCAGGGCGGCGGCTTCGTGGGAGTCTGGCGGCGTATCGAGGATTCCACTCGCTGACCTGCCACTCCGTGTATATTGAGCACATAACCATCCCTGTAACATATAGCTTCTGTACACTATTGCATATCTGATAGAACACTAACATAATAACAATGAGAGCCCGAAAGGATATCAAACACCACAATTCACAGCTTCGCTTTGTCAACCTCAACAGCATCCTCACTCTGAACACCGGACCCCTCACCCTGGGCAGATACGCTATCCGCCTTGGCCAGAATCCAATCCCTAACATCAGCAACAAACTTCGTCGTAGTCTCAGGCAACTCAGAATGCAACCGATGATAAGCCCCGTCATAAGTAACAAAAGTAACATCCTTCCCGCGCTTCTTCATCTCCTCCGCAAATGCCTTGCTAGCAGGGTAACTAGTAACACGATCCTCATTGCCATGACCAAACCAGAAAGGCAACGAACTCTCAACCCATTTCCCAGACGATGCTTCCGTCTCAAACATCGCCTCCAGCCACAATCCCCGATCCAACATACCAGCCAGTCCCTCAAACGTGCCGGTATCATGACACAACTGATCAGCAATGATATCCTCAACAACAGACTCAACCCGAGTCAGCAGTTTCGGGTCAAGCGGGGAATACCGCTGCTTATGCGGGAAAACCTTGGCAACAAGACGCCCGGCAGCGACAGTGAACTTTGACGGGCGCGAGGACGGGTCAATGGCGATTAGTGGGGAGTAGAGCATGACTCCAGTTAGCTTGGGCCGGTTGGAGTCTTTGTTATATGGAGACTCTGGGTGGAGGATGTAGTTGAGGGTTTGGCCACCGCCCATGCTGTGGCCCATTAGGAAGATAGGGGTAGTAGACTCTGACGGGAGGGAGAGTAAGAAGGAGTGCATGTCTGAGAGGACTTTGTGTGTTGGGCCTGTGTTGCCCTTGTCGCTGGCTTTCTTGACCTCGCGGCCCCAGCCTCTGTGGTTGTGTTAGTCTTTTTTTGGGGGGCAGCTTTGATATTGAGATGGCTTTGGTGTGTGGTCTTGAGTGAAGGATGGGTGTTCATAGCTCGGGGTAGTTATCTCCAATGTACATACCTCTGATCAAAAGACCTGACCTCAATTCCTGCTTCCGCCAGGTTTGGGAACATGTCGTAGTAGGCATTGCCTAGAAGTGTTATTGACACGTAAATCAGCGTTGCTATGCTGGCTCATCCAGCGTCGAGACTTACAGTGATCACTGAAGCCATGAATAAAGGCCAAGATGGCATGTGGAGATCCGCTGGTCTAATTTTCTTGTCAGCATTTGCACGAAACATGTCGGGAGAGACGAGGTCGTCTAGGTCAAGGCAAGCTCGATCGAAGCTCAACCCGCTCTGGTCCTTCAGTCAACTCACCTCCCATGTTTTGGTATACAGCTCAAGGCCGTCTGGTAGTGAATGTGTTCCCTCTGTCATCTTGTGAATTGTTGAGAAATTGAAGCCTTGAGGTGTAGTCAAGTCGATCTCACCCAGTGTTAGCATGTGATCTGCAATGCACGGACTCTGCATATCCCGAGGGTATTGACTCACTCCGTACTTACGGCTGATATCTTACATGCGCATGAATTTCAATTGTACCCTTTCAAATTACATATGTTTGAATCATATGTAGACCTGCTACAAGTTGCTACATTTATCCCAACTTGTATATCTCGAAATACTGGATATACAAAAACTTATGACCAGTGACTGTATATATTTCGTTCCATAGGACTATTTGCCACGGAAATATGGAACCCACTCCACAGACTCTAGCAGCTCCTGGATATATTCTTAAAATGTCACATCCCTATCGACATCACCAGTATGAGGTTCCACAAACAAAGCCCAATAGAGTAGAGTGATTCATAATATACATCCAACACAATTCTATACCACCCAACGATCAAGAAGTATACAAATACAACTTACACCCCTCATAACACCCGATATAAAGCGCACTCCCAACCACAGCAGCCACAAAAGTCAACCCAGACCCCCGAAACAGCCCAGAAATCCCCTCCTTACGCACCACATCCCCAGCAACAGCAAAAGCCCCAGCTCGAGGCTGTAAGTTGACCTTCGCCCCATCAAGACCGAGCCGAGGTACCCCTGTCTGTGCATGGTTCCCAACAGCAAGCCTCATTCTGGTCTTAACCACGTCGATAGGAACAAAGAACCAAGATGCACAACCGCCCGCAATACCCGCACTCAAAATAGTTGCCTGTAATTGCTGGGTTATATCATTCTTCTCCTTTTTAAGTTTCCATCGCTCAAGTAATGTCTCTTTTATCATCTCATAGAGACAAAATGTCAGACATATACTGGGTAGCTGACTTGCCACCAAAGCCGTATACCCAGTCCATAGTTTCGATGGCTGTTTCTGGAACTGTTTCAGTATCTCAACTGTTGGAGACGTAGGTAACCCTCTAACTCCAGTCCCAGAAACAGGTGGTGATGGAGGTCTCTGGATAACCTGGGCATTCTGTTTTAATACCTCGGCCGGATTAAGAATCGCACAGGCAATAAGTTCCGCTAGTGCACTACTAGCAACGTGGAAGATAGATCGAGGTACACCGAGCATGTATCCAGCGGATTGAGCATTCTCGAATGTTTTCTTTGAGGCTTCGTATGTTGTGAAGAATGCTGCTGAGGAGAGTGTGCCTGCTAGAAGAGTTGGTCCGAAGCCTTGATAGAGGCCATGGAAAATGGTGCGGCTGAGGGTTCCGTTGCCGTGTTTGTAGATTGTTTTGTAGAATGGGGATTGCATTCGTGTTATTACTGTGTCCATTGGGTGGATTATTATTTCGCTTGTTAGGGCGGCGATTGTTGCGGCCTTGCTTTGGTCAGGAGGCTTTTGTTTGGCTGGGGGCTGGCTGGCTTACTTGGGTTATTTCTGTGTTGTTGCTTAGAGACATCTTGTATGGTAATTTAAGGTATGCATTAGTCGTAAAGGGGTCTTTTCTTTTCTGAAGTGTTGCTCATGAAGCTAAAATGAAGCGATAGAGGTAGTCGGGCTCCGCGGAGCCCGAGCCCTTGATACTCTTTATCTCCGAGGTCAGTTCAAGAGTGTTATTCCTTTCATATATTAAGATTGGATTGTAATTTGTATGTTACTATGCCGTAGCTGCTGTCTATAACTGAATGGCCGACCTAAATTAGACTAAGTATTTCGCGGCCGTCGACTATTGTTGACTACGTTTCTAAATCCCCCTATACTTATAACATAGGTCCCTGTCTATTTGACCTTTAGATATAGTGGGAGAATTAGTGGGAGTACTAACACTCTTTGAATATTCCTTAGAATACCCTTTGGAATACTCTGTAGAATACTCTTAAAGAGTTGTACGTGTAGTGCAAGTAATGCAAGAAGCCAAGTGGCAGCCATACATATACAACTGTCACGGTGAGCAAGGAACCCGAGGATCCAGCCCTACGCCACAGAGACCCCTTATCTATACATTCTACAAGTGAGCAAGTACCAATACCAATAGAAGAAGAAAGGAACAAAGCCATGCTCTATTCTCGACTGGGCCTCGCGTTGGACAGATGACAAAATAAACACGTACATAGAACAGACAACTCCCTTCGCCCAAACAAAAGACAAAAAGCAACCTCGTCACAGGGCAAAGAAACCATACCCTTCAGCCACCTGTTCCACCCGAACACCAACCAACCTCCCATCCTAAGCGTCGTGAAGCCGTCTCAGATGACGTTAGAGATTAGGTGAGATGAAACCGAAATAAATCAGGAAACACAAGGACACAGGAGATAGAGAGAGAGAGACAAAGAGGGAGAGGCGGGAGGAAAGAGGGGACGCGGAAGATACAGGAGTCGAGGAAGATATGCAATATTGCCGTGCCAAAGACTACATCCAAGGGACACGAGGCACAAGGCCAGGGCATTGTTCGCGGGGGAACGAATGCTCCGCTCGCAAATCAAGGGAGAGGGATAAAGAGAAAGAACACGAGAGAGGATGAAGGACGTTCATAAACAGGAGAGAAAACAGAACGAAAGAAAGAAATACGTAAAAAAACACCATAAGACGGCAGACTATAAAGCCACCACCCAAAAAGATTCCGAGATAACAAAGAGCAAGAAAGGACACCGATTTCACAAACACCCATCTTCAAATGCTCCAATTCGTTAGTGCCGTTGCGGCCCGAAGTCTGCCTCCACCACCTTGCCCTTCTTCCCTTTAACCGTAAATTCCGCAAGCAATGCTACGTGGTCACTCGGGAAATGGAAGTTCGGGAACCCGGGGACACGACGTAGGTACTCCTTGTCGACTTCGCCGAGTAACGCTGACACATGGAGTGTGTTGGAAGAGTACCAGATGTAATCGAGGATGGCCGTGAAGTCGGAGGTATAGTTGGTGAAGCTGAGCTCACCCATCGAGCCATAGGCAGACTTCAGCTTGAAGGGGTGTGTCATACCCACCTTACTGAGGTTTCCGTACAGTCGCTTCTCGAGATCAGGGTGTTCTTCCGGCAGGCGGCCAGTAGAAATCAAGTTGTAAGCCGCGGATCCTGGCGAAGAGTTGAAATCACCACACATGAGAACGGGGATTTGATCACCGCTGGAGTACTCCATCGACGGAGCCGGTTCCACCACGGGGGCGTTTTCTGAGCCACTTTCGGCCTCTGAAAAGCGGAATGCGGTCTTATCAGTACACGCGGGCCATTTAGCGTACTTGTCCGAGAGCTTGGTGATTTCCTCCATCAGGATAGCAGTCTGGATGAGCTTGACATCCTTAAAGGCTGGATCCCAGTACAGATGGGCGTTGACACTGATAAAGCGTGCACCGGTCTGGCGGTTCTCCAGGAAGATCACAACGGCGATGTGGTCCTTCTGCCACAGTCGGTTGTAGATATCGTCTTGGCCCTTGGCGTCAGGACGTCGGACGGCTGTCTGGCCGAAGTTGATCAATTGCTTGTCCAACAGGATGTACTTGCTTCCCTTGAAGAAAGTAGCACAGCCATCAACCGACCGGGCATCTTCCTCCTGCATGCCCATTGCACGTCCTCTAGGCCAATAAACGCCCTTGTAATCATTGTAGGCAAGCTGCTCCCGGAAGTAATTGTTGTAGCTTCCCTGGTCAACCTCCTGAAGGCAGATAATATCTGAGCTGTGAGATCGGAGTTCGTTGATGATAAGCTCGCGGCGGTACTCCCAGGCCAGCACACGGGAGGGGACGTAGCCGTAGTGCGATTGGGTGGCAGAAGAGTCGCACAGGGTGTTGTACGACAGAACGGTGATCTTTTCCGTGGGACTGTTGCTTGAGCTGGAGGTCTCGTCAAGGATGACCCAATCACGGTCGGGGGGAGGGAGGTGAACTAGAACGATAAGGTTAGCAAACAAGCTTTCACAAATCGTGTTGGAAGGAGACCGTTGACACACCTGGCATCTCTTCCTTTAGGTACTTGATAAGCGCCTTTGTACCGTCCTTCATGATCTGGGACTTGAGAACATCGTTAAGGGGGTTGCCCTCAACGCCCAGCGTATCCAGACGGTATAGGTAGCCCATCTCGTAAGGGAGGTTGCGAATGTTGTTATCGAAAAGATAGAGTTTCTTCAGATTTGAGAGCATGCCAATCTCTTCTGGCAGCTCCGTCAAGTCATTGCCTGAAAGGTCCAGATGGGTCAACTTCCGAAGTTGTCCAATTGCCGAAGGCAGTGCCTTGAGCTTGTTGGAATTGAGGTATAGCTTCTCGATGAAGGCATAGCTGAACAAGGATGTAGTCAAAGCGCGTAGTCCTTGGCCACCGAAATCAAGCGCATTCCAGCCTTGTCGACTAGCTGGCTTTGATCCGGATGCACCATTGCGCCCTTCTGCCCCATTCTCCTGGGGCTCGGTCTGACTCATGATCTGGATTCCTTTCGTCTGTTGCGCGATGACGCGGGCGTAGTAATGCGGGGAAGTGGCCTGTCTCGACTCAGCTGCCAGCTGGAGTTGTTGTTGCCAATGCTCGTTCATCGATTCGTCCATGTCGTCGTCGACGGCGGCCGGTACACCATTCTGCAAATGAGTAGAAGTGAAATGGGAAGTCGTAGTAGAGGCCAGCGCGCCGCTAGCGAAATTGTGTTGGTGGGTGAGGTTATGAGTGGCTTGTGTGTGGTGGGCATGATGGTGCGGCTGCTGTGCGTGATGGGAGTGGTGGGTTTGCGATTGGAACTTAGGGATCTGCATGCCAAACCGCTGGTGGGTTTGACCGCCATTCATCATGACATGCTGACCCTGGTGACTTTGGCCATACATGTTGAAAGAACCAAGAGCAGCAGCTGGATTCAGGGCAGGGGAACGGGAGGGGGAGGGGGTATCGGGGTTGAATTTCAGTCGCCCCGTCGGAGAGTTGGTCCCGTTTCGAACGATGTGTCGCTGGTGAGGGTTCTGTTGCGCTTGAGTTTGGAAGTAGAACTGCCCGGCCCCAGGCTGCTGGAACCTGTAGGTACCATCTGCCATTTAACGTGGCAGACGAGACCGTGTGTTGTTTCCCTGGTGGAAAACCGGTTGGTGGGCGGACGGCGCTGAATCGAGTTCGTTCGAGGAGGCGAGGAGAGGAGTAGAGGATCGAAGACGGTCTCTTCTCTTCTTCCACATAGAGACCTTTCGTGAAAGCCCTTAGATTAGAGCACGATTGGGGGTCGCTACAGCCTTGGCAGCAGTCGTTGAACGGAGTACCTAAGGGCGGAGAGTGGTCGGAGACGTCAAAAGGAGGCGAGATCGAAGTGTTCGGAGTGGTCGAGGTTCAAAAAGTCGAGGTTAGCCCGAGGGCAAAGATTGACGTAGCAAAGATGGGCAAATCACACGATTGTCTCCAGGTCGATGAGGACGGGTACTGAGATGACACTGGTGGTCTGCATCGAAGGCGGGAGTCACGTGCCGAAGGCGTATCACGTGATGCCAAGTCTCTAGCGTGCATGGGATGCCAAGAGATCGCAGTCTTATGTTCTTATTGAGTACTCGTACGTGAAGTCTCTCTGGAAGGTGTCTGTGTGGGGATCAATGATGATTTGGACCTATATAAAGATACCCTGGGGGATCTTCTACCGCGGTGTGGGGTCACATAGCTCTCTGGAAAGTATGGAAACTTCCGAAACCGCCCTTGTATAAATCATTTGACCCTTTCAAGAATGAAAGTTAGGCTTATCTATGTCTCAAAGCTTATATGAATGAAAGATGAGACCGTAGAAGAGGATAGGGAGAGGAAGTAATAAAGACTGAAAGAAAATGGCCTAGACTGAAAGGACATCAACAAACCTCTAGTCTCCCAATAGGCTATCTGCTCTTTTGATTATCTAGCTGAATTGTCAGTAGGATAGCATAATGAGATGAGACATGGCCTGGCCGGAAATGATCCGAACTAAGATTTCAGAGCCACACACATGTACATGTATACCTAACTTATTGCCCCTGGTTAAGTTTATAGTTCTTTGCTTATCTATCAGCCTATATACCCTACTGTAAACAGTCTATCATAGACACACTTGACACTTGGCAGCGAATATGTACATGTGCAACTGGTAACGTTAGAACAGGCCCACCATACATGCATAGTCACACAGAAACCTCTAAAGCGGCCTTCCAACACATGGCGACAATTACCCCCCTTGCCACATTCCGACATTCCCATCGCCAGCAATTGCCTTCGAGCCAAATGTCTCAAAATCACACAATCCGACACCTCCACGACCAAAGTACGTGGCAGAGACTGAACCGTGTCGATCCACTACACATATCCTGCAGGGGGCAACTCAGGTCCCATATTTATCTACCGAGCGAGTGGAAACATAGGGGCACAGATCACAACCAGGTCCCAGAAGAAGTGCCGAATTTCTCGTATCCAAGCCGCTGAACCAGGTGTCTGGGACTCGGGTTAGGGCACGGGGCAGGTATCGGATAGAGAGAGACTAAGGTCTCAGGTTTTTTTTTTTCCGTGGCCAGACCCGGTACCTGGCGGGTGGACTATGGACGCTATGGACATGGCGGGCAAGGATCTCCGGCGTTTCTGTATTCAGTTTTACGGCCGTTGGAGTAGCCTTGAATAGTCCATCAGATACTATTGGATCAATAAACGAGGCACATTGTACTTTTGTATGAGATGTATCTCAGAGGCGAAAATACTGTTGTAAGGTCTGAGCATATAGATCAGTTCACCCCGGTTTCATATGGCTACGCACGCACCGGACAGAGAACCCTGCTAAAAGGAATGTATGAGGGGTAAAACAACTGAACATCGAATATAAAGGTGTATAAGGAGGTAAATAGTATAGAGAATAAAGTTTATAGTTCGCGATCTATTGAATCTATTGGGTCGCCGTATTTTCAGCATTTCCCTTTCCGGCCAATGTAGCCATGGCTCTGGATTGACTCATGATGTCAACTATATGGATAGCCTCGGTGTAATTTAAGTAGTTACCTACAGAGTACATGTCTTGGAGTATACGGAGATACCGTAAGAAGCCAAGGATTTAGTATTGTTACCCCAATGACTAACTTATACGTGAAGAGAAACTAGACTCGAGTGGATACAATATGCCACTTTTGATCCAGGGGTCACCAGAACTGGTTTCTCTCCTTCCCCCCCTCTCCCCAATTCTCTCCCACTTCTTCATGCTCTTTCTTAAAGCGACTGAGTAAATCGACGTTGAACGAAATTTCTTCAAGTCTGACGGCAGGATATTTTCCGAACCCGCTTTGATCGGTCATCTTGTCGACCTTAATTTTAATTCCTTGAATTTCGGATTTCCCTTCCTGCCATGTCTCGCTGCTCATGAAGCTCCTACCTCGCGCCGAGAATGCGACCGATCCAGCATAGGCCGACAACTTGAGTGATGGACACAATGGCACTTGGATTCACCACAGCAACGGCCTCCGGGACCGACCTGCACTCCAACCTGAGTTCGACATTGGCGGCTTCCTCCTCCTCCCTGGGCTCCCTCACGGACTACTCAACATACCCTCTGATCCGCCAGGGCGACCGCACCTACTTCCGCGACCCGGAGGATACCTACCCTCTGCCCTGCGATCTGCCCGAGATCCACCGCCAGAGCCTGCGCACGTTGATGCTACTGCGCGTCTTAGGCGGCCCGTTTTGCAATCCCCACTTGGCCAATCGCCCGCCCAAACGCATCCTGGAGATCGCATGCGGGTCCGGGTTGTGGTCCGGTCTGTGCCACGAATACTTCTCCCGTCGGGGTCACCCCAACGTCGCCTTTGCGGGAATCGACGTCGTCTCCATTGCGCCAGATCTGCGCAAGCAGGGCATGAACTGGCAGTTCAAACGTCATGACCTACGCCGACCCCGCCTACCCTTCCCGGACGATTATTTCGACTTCGTGTTTATCAAAGATGCCGGCATGTGTCCAGCCAGCCCAGCGCAATCAGCATCCGGGTTGAGTGAGCCTCTGCGAGTGTTAAAATCCGGGGGGATCCTGGAAGTGTGGGATTCAGATTGGAGTTTCCGCTCGCTGCTCCCGAACCCGGCTCCGGCCCGCAAAACCTCGTCGAAGGAACAAGAGATTGCCGATACGACGGCCACATACACATTCTCCTCTGCGACTCCATTCACACGAGCGCAGAACAAATACTTGGTGGATTATAACTCGTGGGTGGAGAAGTCGTTCGACCAACGCAAACTCACAGCGCTTCCGTGCGCCACTATCGGCTTATCGTTCAACTCCGAGGTAGACTTGCTGGAAAATGTCGACAGTCGCCGCGTTGCAGTCCCGCTAGGTGAATTGCGGTGGGAGCGCGAGGGCCAAGGCAAGGACTCCAAGGGCCGTCCACGGAAAGCCTTGACCCCGGAACAAATATCCATCCGACGAACGGCGCTTCTCACGACGATCCAGATGATCGAAGGGCTCGAGCCCCTGCTCATGGAATCCAGCGGAAAGAGCCGCGATGAATGGGACCGATGGTGGGCAGCGATGACAGCCGACTTTCTGCAAAAAGGCGGACTTGCCAGCGGCGAGTGTCTTGAAGTGAGTGCCTGGTGGGGACGCAAGAAATGAAGCCCTCTCGAGTCAATTTGGAGTTCTGGCGAACGAAAGTCAAGCAGTGACCATTCTGCACTTCGTATTGGTGATACCCAATTTTATTTTTGTCTTTCTGGTTTCTATATCTGAACACTCTGGAGTTGAGAGCCAAAAGAAGGCCTCAGCTACTTTCATACCGCTTTTTCAGCGTCCGGTACCGCTTCAAATAGTACCTGTTTTTTTTTAATCGTGTCAGTTGGTCATAGGGTCTGTGGGGTCCAAAATTGTGCTTGCATGATGCCGTGATGTATAATGAGGAGTGGATGCAGGGTGTATCTAGCCGAAGACTGCCGCAATATGCGCAAAATGTATAGAATGACATGTACGAATAGTTCGGGTTCGTTGTGCGTATCACAAAAGCGTAGATTGGGGAACATCGAGAAAGAGGGTCGAAAGCCACATGCGGAGAAGGAAAGATAGGAGTGGGTATGGGGGTTGATCTTACAAGGCTTCAACTTCTGTACAGAGCAGTTAGCAACAGGCCGACACTTGAAACAGAGATGGGGATACCAAGACAAAACCTACCTTTCTTCACGAACTCAGCCCTCGCGATCCCCTTGCGGATCTGCTCATCATCTGTAATCTGGGCTTGACTCGCAAATGCGCGGTGCAGCCGATCTCTGAAGTACTGATACCCTAGAGGGTATTCGCGCCCTAGGAACAAGAGTTCTTTGCTCGGGTGTTAGTCCAAGGCCGACGAGACCGCTCAAGACCACTCCTGATTGTACTGGCATACCCTTGTAGACGTTGATGACTTGCCGGCGCAGCTCAAAGTTCACCATAGCTGCTCCATTCACAGGGGTTGGGGAGGTAGTTGAGAGGTCTGATGGTTATTGAGGAAGTGAGGAGGCGGAGCTGAAAGCTGAAGCTTCGGATGTTATCGGTGACGTCGCCCGGAGAATACTATGTGTATGAGGCTGTCTAGGGAGCCCCGATCTCAACTTTGGAATATTGACCTATTCTTTTTTTTTTAATAATTGCATTAATAGCCACTACTTCTATCCAGACTATAAAATGACAATATTAACATAACCGACACCGTATATAACCGCGCGGGGTTCAAGCCGAACTGGCCCAAGTTCCGGGGATTAGTTGACCGAGCTCAGCCTATGCGTTGCTCTCTCCTCTCCACCCACGCCATGCTACAACCAGCACTCCGAACGCAGCTCGCTGCGCCAATCCGCTCATTCCAATTACCCGCACGTCGTCTACTTTCTACGACCTCCCCCGTACAAGATCCTCGCAAAGCCAATTCGGACAACGCGCCGGCAAAGCCGCACACTATCGACCCGCGATGGCTTACAATGATAAAGCGACGGATCGGGAAATGCATGATGTTTGGACTACGACCAGAACAGATCGATGAAGGAGGACAGATTCTACAGCAATTGGCTAATGATTGGCGTGAATTGCTTGCTGGAAGTGAGGGTTTCTTGACCGATAGGAAGCGTCGCAGTTTGTTTAAGCATAATGTTGTCTGGGGTGAACAGGTATGGGACTGTGCCTATATATGGTATATATATGCTATAGGTGTATTGTTGCTGACTTCTGGTCTTTTGGTGGTTTAATAGGATGTCATGGTAAGAACATCTCTCGCCATGTGCCACGCTGCACCTGCCCTCTTGAATTTGGAACAAAGCTAATACTATGACTAGGGTATGTTATGCATCCACTATCGACGAATACTTTGTCATTCAAAGTTCCGTACTAAGCTAAGCGATCCACAGGCCATGTCAACAACGTCACCTATGTTCGATATGCCGAGACCGCCCGAGTGAACTGGACGCGAAACATCGGAACCTACATCGATCCTGCAAATAAGAGAGAATGGATAAATCTGGTTGGCTCTACGGGGGTCGGTCTCATCCTGCGAAGCATCAAGGTAGACTACAAATTTGTACAGCATCCCCAAAGCAGACCTAAAGTGCTTCAATGCCTCAATTACTTACTATGAAGCAGCCCATGACATCACCCGACAAGATAACTGTCTACCAAAGGCTAGTCCCCGACCCAAACTCATTCCTCTCCAGACAATCTGCATTCCAGCTGCAGGTCATGATCCTCTCGGAAGCCAAGCAACGTCCCGCTGCTCGTTGCCACGAGGATATTGTCACATATGACTACAAGAGGAACCAGAAGACGCACAATCTTCCTCCTTTTGTCATGGAACAGTTTAAGGTCATCTATGAATTGCAGGAACAAGCCCAGAAGGAATGGCAGCAGCAAATTGCCGAGATTGAGAATCGGGTGCGGACTCTTGAACTTGAGAGCTGGGATCGTGTGGATGCCATTGAGGATAATGGGTCTTCTTAACTGAAGCTTCAGTGTTTAGGGAAGGAGTGTGAGGTGGAGTTGATAAGTGCCGTGTTTCCTTATCATTGAGTCGCCTTTGTACATGTTGTCTCGAGTATGGTTGATTGCGGTGTAGCGGGCCACGACAGCGTGGTCATACCGCTGAGAGTAGTACCCTAGAAGTAAGAATTATCGCAATATTCCAGTTTGTCTCTTTAAGCTTGACTTGGCAATCTGCCGTAAAATGAAGCAATTAGTAAATTAGAGGAAGATGGAAAAGTCATGATCGTGTATGTTGTAGCTTTTGAAGAGGAATAATATCATCAAGCGTCATTCTATAATCTATAGACCACATACTCTATAGAAATCATCACTCGGGGAAATACTAGGAAAAGAAAACCCATTGCCAGCACCCTAAGCAAGAAATCAAAACTTCAGCTTCTTCGCAATCTCAATCCCTTCAGCTATACATCCCACACGAGCATCAATGGCATAACCTTCCTTCTCTAGGTTCTCAAGCTCAGCACTAAGCCGCGAAACCGGAACCGTGAAACACTCAATAAACTCATTATCCTCAAGACTAGGCTTAGGATCCTGGTTTTCTGGAAGGGACATGTCAATTTGGACATAAACCATGTTGAAATTAGAGTTGCAGAACCCGGGATCTAGATATCAAAGTTAGTAAAGATGCAGCATCAAGAAATGTCTCTGTTAGGTATGTACGGACCATTGTACATAATTCCGCTGGTCTTATTAGTAACACCAATATACCCAGTCTCCTCTCTGAGTTCCCGAATTGCAGTTTGTTCAATTGTTTCACCTGGGTCGATCAGACCTGCAGGAAGCTCAATGACGACTTGGTCAATTGGTGGTCGGTATTGTTTCTCAAGGAGAAGTTCCGATCCTGTTGATTTGTTCAAGAAGGCTACTATGTTGACTCCATCCACGAGGGAATCTTTAGGTCTTGTCTGTGCAAATGGTCAGAAAACGGTTTGTTTTTGTTTT